TCTCTCTTTTTTTTCCACACACCCTCCCCCTCCTCCCCAGCGCTTAATGCACCGCGCCTGTACGGCGAAACGCACTTTGCCCGCGTCGGGGGAAAAAAACGAGGGGGCGAAAAAGCGCGGTGTGGTCGGATGCTTTGTAAACAACGTGTCTAGCACGCCATACCTTTCCCCCCCCCTCCTCCTCCGTGTCGCAAAACCGGACACCGGCCATTTCGCGGCAATAATTCATCGGCGGGAACATTTATGCGCGCCGGTGCGCGCCTCCTCCTCCCCCCTCCCCTCCTCTGCGATTTTTTCCGCGTCGCCGTGCCAGCCCTCGACGCTTCGATGCCTCGAAAAATGTTTTATCGCGCCGATCTTTCCCGATTCGATGAGAAACGATCCTCCTCGATATATTTCACGCCCTTCTCTCGCCGCTTCTTCCGTGGCTCGACTTTCTAGATTCTGGTTGTGAATTGTTAATGTACTCGGGGAAATAAAGGTTTTTCTTTCGGTAAACGTGTTGAAATGAAAAGTGGAATGAGGCTGGACGATGATACCACGCTTGAATGATACCGACGAAAACAAACATTCGCGAGAAAAACACGTGGCGGATCGACGACCCAGTTCCAGAGGGAGGGGAGGGAAGAAGCCGTGAAACGAAGAGGAAAGAGCATCCTCGTGATCAGGCTCGCCTCTCCCTGCGGGGGCTGTTGCTGATAATTTTCCATGCATAATAATAACGCGAGGCGAAGAATTTGAATAATCCACTTTCACGCTATTTTCCCGTCTGATAAGTCATTAAGCCGCATCCACCGCGTAGAAAACTTAACAGCAGGAGAGAGGAGAGCAATCTGCTTTGTCCCGCCACCCTCCTCCTCCTCCTCCTGGAATGGAACGAAACGCGGTGATGGGCGAGAAGGAGGGTTGTGGACCTCGTTGTTGCGCGATCTCGCTTTGTGTATTCGACGCCAGGCAATCGCTCGTCCCCGGAAAATTCACGGTCTGGCTCGCGGCGAACAAATGCCGCCACCTAGTCGCCCCTCTTTGGCCGGCTCCCTGCTTCGTTCGGCCGCAATTCCCTCGTATTACCGTAATATTCGCTTTAACGGCGAACGACAGGGCATAACAATGCGCGACACCGCTCCGAAACGCGCCATTTTCCATCCAGGAATCTCTTTTTTTCTTCTTCCTTTCTTCCTTCCTCCTCCCCGCCCTTCCGGCGTTAATTCGAATCCGCGTTATGTTTCTTCCATTCAACGGTGTTCAATGTGTATGGGTTTCGACGTGCGTGAGAGTTGAATTGGGAAGTGGAATTTCGATTGAATTTCGAATCGTTGCGGAAGACGCTGTTTCGGGATTTGGGGGAGTTTGTCTTCGTTGATGGAAGCGGATGAATTGCGGATGGTTTGTTTTAGGAAGGGATTTAAAAGTAGATCACTTCCTTTGATAATTAGTGAAAAGATTTTTGTATAAATTTTTATATAATAAAGATTGCAGTAGTTTTTTTAAATGTAAGGACAATTGGGTTACAGGTGGGCTTGAAAAATTGTAATACTTTCTTTTTTAAGGAATAAAAGTGTAATAGAAACTATGATCAAACTAAATTATAAGAGATTGGATTAGTTGAACTATGAGGGATAAATGAATCTATAAAGAAATAATCATTTCATATTTTTATATTTTAAGCGACTTTCAGTCGTCAAATTATTGATTAAATCGTTTACTTTCTTTCTCTGTTGGTCCTCTTTGAAATTACTTGCACAAGATAATACCCAACAAATTTTGAATTAATAATTGTTACTGAACATCTTCTACTTAATAAGTACAATCCATTTCTTTTGGATTTACTTTAAAAAATGATTGAATGATTCTTCAGTTGATAAAAGAAAATAGTCATTTAAATAAAATCTATCTAAAATCATATAATGAAAAATGATCAGAGAATCGTTCAAATCACCAAACATGATTCAGATCTAATCGATATTATTCCCTAGCATCACGAACTCTGTCACGTTTCTCTCGCATTTCCGGCAGAACTTACGACTAACCCTTCAAATATGAAATCCACCCACGATGTTTCGAGCAGTCTCGATAATTCACGAAATCGATTACGCGATAGGTGAAACGGGCCAACCGTTTTACGACCATGGCCCGTATTTACGCATTATAGTCGAGGAAATCTGCGTCCTCGGCTGTGTGCGGTCGCGTTGCACACCGGAAACAGGCACATGGAGGCACATCCGCGCCGTTATGGCCGCGTTTCCGCCTGTTTGTCCTACGAGGAAACGTCCTAGAACCTCCAACCGCACCGCGTTCGACTTCATATTCGCCTGTTTGAAGATCGTAAAGCCTGTCTCACCGCGCTGACAATGCGATACGTTTCTCGAAGATTAATTGATGGAAATAAACTTTCGCAAAATCTTTTTCTCGTGTATAATATCTGTTCTCACGTAACACGAAACGAATAATATAAAACGGTAAAAGAGAATTTTGCGAATTAAGTTACATAAGGATTACGAGGGAAGAAATTAATTTTGGAGAGATTAGATGATTAAAAATTGTATTTCCACAGTATAACAATGTTTCTTTCTTCATTCAGTTCAACAATATTTCAATAAACCTTCGTGATATCTCGCAATGATATTTATCGGAATTCGTCAAGTTAATATTAACGTATCGTCTTTTAATATTATTATTTCCCTCGTAAAAGTATAATCCATTAATCCCAGTTGTTGAAATCCCAGCATGCCGGATTACTGAAATTTTATTTCATTTTGTTGTTTTAACGAAATAAATAAGATTAAAATAACGTTCGATTGTAAAAAATTGTTCAACGTTGATCTTCATAGAAGGCCACAATGGCAATGCGGTGACCAAAGGTACCCATTTGGCGAATGGCAGCGTTATCACGCGTTCTCGTGCGCCAGATTATGCCAGGGTTATGCGTACCCTATTCAAAAGTGGTCGTGCGCCGTGTATAAAGGGCCATTACGAAAATGACCATTAAAATAAATTACTCTCATCGTGGCGTACGTAACGAGTGGCAACGCTGCTCAATACCTTGAAATACGTGACGCGGAAATAGTCGGCGGCGTGCGAATCAATTTACGCAAATAATGGGAACGGGGTGGCGGGTGAGGAGGGGAGGGGTTAAAATTTCGACCACTAGAAACAGTGGACCATCCGATCCTTTGTCCGCTTGAAAATGTTCATCCTCCGCCGGATTTCGGCCACGCGAGCAATTGAAATTTCCGTGATGAATATGAGTTCCAGAAATCGTTCGTACTATTTCAGTTATTCGAGGGTTGCAGGTGGCTCGAGCCCCATATTTCAAGGAATTTCGAATGGATTATTGGCAGTCGAATTTGAAATGTATGATCCTGGAAAAGTTGTCGTTTCGAATGTTTTTATGGTGGTGCTTGGTTGATAGATTTTTTCCTCCATAGGAAGCAAGTTGTATATAAAGTGTGAGAAAAATCGAAAATTTGTTTTAAATCTGTCACGTAGGAGTTTTTCATAAATTGGACTACTGTTATTTGAAAAATCTTCGATATTGTTTGTATTAATAAAGGATTATAAAAAAGATGATATGAATGGGATATTTCTCTTCTACGTCTAAAATTATGCCAATTTTAATTTTATTTATATACTATTATTATGTATTATATAATCGGATCAAAATGGAGAAAACAGTGCAAAAGGGATTACATCTCGTAACGTTCGCCATGATAATTATACATAATAGTGTGTATTGCGCTAGCGAGAATCGTATTGCGCTCGAAGCCACCTAGCGGCAGAATTAGTACACGTAAACTGATTCTGGCAATTCAATTTATATTCGCGGCCCTCTAGCAGCTGCAACAGATACTTTAATCGACCGAGTTTGATCATATCATATTACAACTTTATTCCATTTAACTTGATATTTATTTAATATAAATTAATATTGCATTTAATATAATATTTAAAAATGGAACAGAATACACTTTTTTCAATTACGTCTTAAATAAAACTAACTCATTCATGCCACTCCCTTGCAAATTTAAACAAATTTCATACATCCAAAAGTAATGAAAACTTAATCGGACAGATTTTCCTTTCTCTCGCAATTAATTCTTTGAATTTTTGAAAGTTGGCTGATTTATAAGCGTTTCAACTATGCGTTTATGATTTATACCGTGAAATTAATACAACGAAATATGAAGAGATAAAACAGAACAAAGTCGCAGCGAGGACGTCGAAACGGATGAGCCTAATTTTATTTCGGTAACTCGATTGTCGAAGAGAAAGGACGAGGAATGTGTTCAGGTCGATCGAACGGATAATATTAAATTTAAGAGTTCAGTTTTGCGTCAGGCAACGAGTGATATTCCCCCGAGGCAAACATCGTCGACGTCGTCGCTCCTCGTCATAGTTGGGTTTCCATTTCTCTCGCTATATACGAGGGGCCACGTTGTTTGTCGGGGAACGTTCTTTTACGAGCAGAAATATTTTGCCAATTTCACCGTCCATGCAAATTTCAATTCGCGAGCGTCAATATTTGTTGAATCGCGTCGAAAAAGGATTTCGATGTACCGGCACTCGATTCCCCGTCAAACGCTCTGGCCACGGCTCGCTCCTCTAAAAACGGTAATATCGAGCGTTAAAATAAAGGGGTAGACGTGGGAAGAAAAATACCTCGACAAACGTCAATATCCTATTCCCTTTCATCCATAAGTAAAAAATTATCCTTCTCGTGTGCAGCTACTGGAGTGTTTTGGATTTTGCGCGAAATGTATGATTGGCCAAGTTGAAAGAAATAAATCAACTCTCGTGCTAACCCGATGGATGAATTATGAGTTGGAAAATTTAAGAATCCTGTATTGAGATAATATATATATGCAAAGTCGTGTTCTTCAATTTCTCCTTTAAAAAAATTTTCTTCTCCGAAAAATGTTCGTTCGAGGAGGATGAACTCGATATAATCTGTGGAGAAAAGAAATTCTCAACACGGCTCGGCGGTTCTTTTTTTTTTCCAGGGTCCGGTCGGGGAAGTGGGCGGCGTCAGGCTGCCGTTGCAATCATTACATGGGTACGGATCTGTGTTCATGTACTCGGCGTCGACGAGTCCCGGGGGTGGAGGTGGCCAGGGTGGCGGAGGCGGAGGTGAAGTGACCCTCCGCCTCCGCGAACCTGAGGATATTCCCGAAGAAGTTCTTGCACGCCTCGAGGACACGGCCACCCTCTCCATCTCTCTTCAAAGCGACGCAGTGTTGAGGCTGGGGGCAGCTGGCACGGGTAAGTCCTCCCCCTCTTTCCCTTTTTCGTGTTAACTCGCCCCATCCGACGAAGATCATTCTTTTCGTCGAGATAAAGTTTCGATTCTCGTTATCGATGTTTCATTTCCGCTCGACAAGTTTTATATCCGATATGTAATTGGAAGGAATATTAAACAAGCAGCGGCGAGAGCAATTGTTCAAGAAAATCGATATTGTATTCACAATTTAGAAATTTAATTGATAGAAAGTAAAGTGTAAAAAGTTGAATATATATATATATATATATATATATATACATAATAT